TTTTATATTTGGTATCTGACTATAATCCCTCTATGTACCAGTTGTTTTTTTAAAAATGCACATTGATTTTGTTTGACAGAAAGTAAGAGCCATGATTAGCCTTCAGTTTGTTAGGCAGGCATGACCATTTTTTTTTAAACTCATGTTTTCCTGTGTCATAGGTGCAAAACGTGAAATTTCGTAATTTGCTTCCACTGTGACCAAGTTTGCACCTGTATATCATGCACATCCTTTTGCTCAGTGTCTAGATTTCTAAATGTAAAACTTTATTCAAGTACAGTTGTTATTCTTTACATTTTTTCAGCAATAAAAGAATAAAGTTTACTGCAAACTACAGTTCTAAAAAACTTTATCTTTATTAAAACTTTTAATAAAGGGGGAAGTAGCCATTAACTAGTGTGACTTTTCTTCCCCTTGTCTTATTTTCAGCCTGCCTGTGATTCTCTGCTAAACTGCTATTCACACCTCATTTTAAAAAAAATGTATACGTATAGGAAAAGATAAAATGTTTTCTAAAATGGAAATAATAAGGATGAATATGCAATCATTTTAAACACATTTTTACTTTTACAATATGTATATTAAAAAAGGTATCAATAAGATATTATCAGCAAATACTACATTATTGGACTAAGACAACCAAACAAATAATACACACACGGAATTTAAAATCCTGTCTTAACCTAAATGCCTAGCATACGTTTTGTTGCTATTATAATTCACTTTACTGTGGCATCAGTGCCATGAATAAGCTAACTCTGTGTCAGATGTAGATGCTCAACGTCATTTACACACCTTGTCCCGCTGTGGCCCCACTGAAGTTAATAGTGGAGTAAACTGCTGAAGTGTGAGGGTATAAGAATCTGGTTCAAAGTTAACATGACAATTAGTAAATCAGTATCTAGGAACATTTGTCTATAGTAAATGGAAAAAGCCTTAAAGGAATTAGTTCTTTTTATGCTTAAAACAAATCACACAGCTCAAAAAGCTCAAACTCTTCCCTCCCTTTTTCAGATTTATTTTGTATCAATAAAGATATGACTTTGGTCATACATTATATAATTACATGTGCTTTAACAGACAAAGAAGATTTTGAAGTCCCGTTTAACTTTGGGCTCCTAAAGATTGATTACTAGCATTTTTGCAAATGATTTCAGACACCAGCTGCTATAAATACATTTAAGCTCGCGTCCCCACTCAGCAATGACCATGCATCTACAGTATTTTCATTATCTCAAAAATGCTTTGGCTTCATCAGCAACAGATGAATTCATTAATTTCTTTATTAATTCAAATGATTTTTTTCAATTTTTATATGCCCCAAGGTTGTCTCTGCAAGATGAGCTCCCTCTGTGTTCCATAAAATTGTAATCAATCTCTATTATAGTCATGAAAATGGTATTTGTCACTTTGCTGAGAAAAAAATAATCAATATGTCTTGCAGGGCAGAACAGGCATTTAATACAATGAATTGATGCCTGCTAGAGAAATTTAGCTTGCCAGCAGTTTGGGACAAGCTAATAGAAATCCAGAAAATTCACCCAAGGTTGACAGATGAATATACAACAGACATGCCACAAAAATTAATATTTGGGCATTTTGAATGGCCTATCATTTCATATGTTGGAGAGACCATAGATTTAGACACTCAAATCCCAAAAGAAACCCTTTTCGGTTTTAAAGACAAGACCCCAAAAATTTGTACAAAAAAGGAATTTTTGACTCTGTTATCATTTTCATATTACACTGGAAGAATAAATAGTCTCCTCTACTTTAAAGCATTGCTCCAGACAAGAGACAGTATCAAAAGCACTGTTGAGTTTTAAGTAGTAAGACAATACAAAGATTGTGTGGTGGCACTGAATATCTCAACGCTTTGGAGTGCGCTGTAAAGCATCAAATAAAGCAGAGAGAGGCCTGCGTATTCACAAAATAGCAACATTCTGCACTATGGCACTGTTCAAAGACTTCAGGTGGACCATATGAAAAATGCACAAGTAAAATTGTTGTAACTTAAAAGATCTAGAAAAGGTCCAGCTGTAAGTTTAATAATAACTAGTGTCAAATTCTCAAAAGACAATATGTAAAACACTCCTTAATTTTAACAAAGGTATCAATAACTACTTTAGGAATGGGGTCTCCCTTCCTCCCTCCCTTCTACTGCCATCGGCAGAACTGTCAAAAACACGTCAATATTATGCCTCGATTATGCCAGTCTGTTTAATTCCCTTGTTTTGTTGGTTTTAATAAATAATGTTTAAAGTTGCAGCATAAAAAGCAAAAACTGCAACTGCCTGGCACATTTCATTTATGTGAAATAATATTTGATTTTCAATGTATATTAATCTGTCCCATCCTTTGCTTTACTCAATTAGGCAATTATTGCCATTCTGTTTAATATTGAAAGGTGTATTTCAGGTTGCAATCATGTTAGAGATTTTTGTACCTTGTAGATAAGTTTGTACAGTGTTTTAAATGTTAGTAGAATTAGCAATGTATTTGGAGGAAAATGTTTTTGTCTCCTTATAAGGCCAACAAAATGACAGAAGAAGAATTTGTGAGACAGCATAGAGAAACCTACCAGAAAATACTGCCACAGTTGGAGTGGTGGCAAATCCAATATCCTCTACAATGGTGATGATTTGTGAGGTTACAAAAAATGGGAAATGGGCAGACTTCTGAGTGTAGAGATGGGGGTCTGCCTAGGCACGTGCACTTGCAGGACTGAGGCCTAAATCAGCCATACAGACCTGAGTAGGCTGAATGCATGAGGCAGACTGTTATGAGGAACTGAGGATCTCTTTAATTGCTTGATTTGGACAACTTACCCAAGTTGAGAGATAGACCAGGGTTATTCTTATGGTAAGAATTAATTGTATTATGTCTTTCTTTTGTCATTAAATCTCCTTCTGCAAAAATTGTGGCCACTGTGCCAAAACTCATTAAAAGGTGCAAGCATCCAATTTATGGCAAATATGAAGCATTATCCCATACACCACAGGAAGAAAGACAAGACACTAGGAATGTGGTTTAACCAGGCTGCAACTTTTAAGTAATACATCTGGGAGCTATCTGGGATTAACTTGCCCAATGCAGGTAATTCCTTTGTAATCCGTTTCATCTGGTGGAGAGCTGACAGCAGCTAACCTGGTCTCAGTGATATTGCTGAGACCCCATTATCCTCCCTTTCTATGAGGGTTAAGGAGGGTGGGGAAGAGCAGGCTGTCTCCCTACTGAACCCAGACATTAGGAACCCAATTCCCCACTTTCTTTAGGAGATATCTTCTAATCTGCTTCCAATTCCAGTTCAGGGAACCAGACCCCCTTCTGAACAAGTACCTGCACTGGGCACCTACCAAGTTGCAACAAAATAAATTTTACAACCTAACTGAGCCACTGGGTCCCTGGGCTGCTGAGAGGAAGATGAAAAAAACCTCACACCACTCTGGCCAACCTGGCAGTCCAGGGGTAAATTCAGTGAGGCCCCCAAACCCAGTGCTATTCTAATCCAATGGGGGAGGTTTTCTTCCCTGTGCAAGTGGTGCTGCTGGGGCCGGAGGAAGGGTTTATTAGCCCTTCCTTTGAGTGTGTGGGAGTCAATAGGCTTGTGCTGCTCCAGCCAATGAGCCACAGTATCCCACTCCTCAACTCTAAACAGGGGCACAATCCTTTAAGGGAACAACAGTTTTCTTTCCTCTGCTGACCCAGACAAATCCCCGCACCTCCAAGTCTGCAGGGCGAGAGGCATTAGTGCTAAAACGACATCGTAAAAGTCCTTAATTGTTATTTTTAAAAATATATACATAGAATGAATACTTTAAATGTGAGTCTTCTATGACCCCTCTCCCCTTCACCCTTGTGTCAGAAATACTCAAAGACACCTTTACATGTTAGGCCCTGCTACTATTGAAATCAATGGAAAAATCTCCCTCTGAGTTCAATGGGGATAAGATTGGCCAAAAGAAAGTATCTGACAATATGGATATGACCTTTTTTCATATTTATTTATTTGTTAAAGCTAGTTTTATGCTAGTTTCTCATTTTGTAAAAGAATTTGATCCTCAGGCTGAAAACACATCGGTCAAGTTTCTTTGTAGCCAAGTAATAAAAAGTTCTTGAAAATCAATTTACATTGAACATGATAATTGACCATTAAACAGTGCAGTCCTCGCAGGAAGCTAAAAAGAATTCAATTAAAAATATCTCTGCATTCTTAAACAACAGAAGTCAAACTAAACAGAAATCCAGCAACACTGACATATGTTTCCCCCCAAGCAATCTGTGTAGTTTCTATTTTACAAATGAGCTTCACTGGCTATTGTACATGTAGTGGCAAGTACTGGTAAGGATGACAGAAGTTAGTGTTGCATGACACTGTCAACATTTATATTTATGCTTTGTGTGAGAGCAAACATTTGTAATTCATCCTAGGAAAGCTGAAGTTTTATTACAGAAAATGACAAAGTGTTACTACAGATAGTTCAAAACGTAAGATATTCCTGTCTACATTGTCAGGTCTGATGTGTGTCAGATTTACACATATGGTTACAAAATGTATATTATATTACATTATATATATATATATATATGTATACATGTATATATAATGCCTTCAAAGATAGACATGAATTTGCATTCAGCTGTCTTTCCTCTTGCACTTTTGTCCAAAATGTAAATGTTTCTCAAACAAACAGGCATTTGAAGGACTTGCACACATCATATATTCCTTATAAATGGATAAGAAGGATCTTTATATGTTTCAGTTGCAGAGATATGAGAGTAATAAAGGTATTAAGTATTAATATTTTTATAATCAGTATGCTAGGCCCTGAGGGAAATATTCTCATTGATTTTTCCTTGGGCTTATTGACATAATTTGCACAATAGTGATAACTGAGTTTTACCTATTTGAAAGCATAAATCCCACTGAGAAAAGGGTATTTTTCAATTAAACTATCTTACATGAGCTTACTGACAAAGTGAAATAAATCTGAACATACCATGAAGATTAAAATAAGATGAGCTTTAACTGGATGTCCTTGGTTTTCAGATGCATAATCCCCTCATTCTCATTTCATCTGCCATATTCTTCATTCACCTCAACAAGGTCAGCCAAAGATTCTTCCTAAGTAGAGTGGATACATATGTTACAACAACACAGGCAAAGAAGTAGTTCATCTTTGTTCCTCATCTTTCCCTGGGTATAAAGCAGTACAGTGAAATGTGATATCATTGCAATGTTTCTAGGTAACAATGCAAATACCCTCTGCAGGAGTTACAATCTATTTAAAGAGTTTTCTTCCCTTTTTTTATAAGAGAATCTAATATACCTTGTTTTCTCTGTATTATTAAATTATTTCAACTTCTAGGTCAACTATTTCTCAACAACAGCAATAAAATTACAACATAAGGGCTTGATTCTGCTTCCATTACAGTTAATAAAAAACTCCCATTGATATGAATAAAGCAGACTTCAGGCCTAAAGTGTTTTTCAAAAGGCAGCCAAAGTGGCTTAGAAAGTGTTCAAGCTTAAATTTACATTTTGCAACATTTGGCTTGATTCTAAATGAGCAGCAGCTGTGATCATCAAACAACGTGTACCATACAAAGTCTCCAGCCCCACTCAATTTACAATAGCAAGCAAGCTACAGATTCAGAGAGTTCATCCTGCTCAATTTATTTCCAGTGGAGAAATACTCTATTTATTTCATGTGACTTTAATATTCCCAAATGGAGGTTTTCCTGCTGAAAACAACTGCCCTGCCTCACTATTTTATTCTGTCGAGAAGTCCTTAATCCCCATTTTGCTATTGACCAGTTAGAGCCTAGTCACAGCTAGTAACAACTTTTGATCACTATCAGTCTGGGTTGGATTTGAACGCGTGATACATAAATCAAAGACTCCTGTAGCCTATCCTTGAGTCATCTAGTTTCCCCTTCGATTACTATTTATTAACATAGCCTAGTCACAGGTAGAAAGAGTACTTTATGTATAAAATGAAAACCTATGAAAACTGTTTTCTATTACTCTTTTTACATATTGTATATGAAGCTAGGTATAATTGTGACTAGTCCTTTTTAATAATTTATTTGAGCAATGTATGACTTTCCCCATTTAAGGTCAGGTTCTGTGACCACTACCCACAATGAAAAGTGCTCTGCTCCACCACAAGTCAAATAAATGAAATAAATGCGACTGCTTACAGAGTAAAAGGGAGTAAAGGTGACAGAATGTCATTTTCTGTGTAATTCCACCCACAGAAACAGAGAGTAAGAAACGTTGGTGACAAAATCCCTAGCAAAGCATAACCCAAACCATATTAGGCTGACTGCATCTCAGACTATGACAATAAATATCACTCAGTTTTCCCCCAGCCTGAGTTTTCCTCTTCCTACACGTTCCACCCAATCAAAAAGTTTCATAGTCAAGAATGATACTTCTTTTCCTATGTTTTGTCATTTTGTGTTAAGTCCATTGCAAACTCAATTCACTGGCTTGAGGCCAACGGGTACTGAAAGAATAAAGATGGATATGCAATATCACAGATATTTCACTGCAATGACACACACAGCGGAACTTCACTCATCCACACTAGCAGGGGACATACCAGTACAGACTAGTTAGGATGCAGAATGGTGATTGCGGAGAGTGCCAGTGGTGTGGGTGATGCTCATTTCTCCACAGAGAAGAGCGCACATTTCCTTCCATATCTCTTCCTGGCACTCAGTAAAGACTTGAAATAGGGTTTCTCTATGTACAATTGATCCTCCCTTCCTTCTCTGGTATGTGCTGTTGCTCAAAGAGGCAGGACGAGGCTCTCTCATTCACAGTGGCTACAGGAATTGGCCAGCAACACTGAGCTAAGCGGGCAAGCTTTCAAGAGACATTGCTACAACCCCATACCCCTCCTTTGAGGCTGTGGCTCTTAAGAGACCTGTTTCCATTGCCACCTCAGTTCTTCCTTCAGTATGGCATCCAGATGCGGGAAGATATTACATCTAGTCACAAGCCCTGTCACTAATATGAAAAAAAAACAGCTCCCAACTCTTCCCCCAGGGTACAGCTTTAATCTCTTCCTGTGGTAGGACTCAGTGCGCTGGACAGAATGGTGGACCCTAAAAGAACTGCCATCACCATGAGTGAAGAAAAGAGGGGCTGGGCAGCAACGTCAGCCTTTGCGTAGGCCTTCATGCACCATGCCATAAACTGGTTTCTGAGGCCTCAGTAGGAACGCTATAAGGCTGCTCCATCTGCCTGAGCAACAGCAGCACTACTAAGCTGGGAGAAGGCCAGAGTCAGAGGAAGAAGAGCCAAATCTAAATAGAAAAAATTCACTTCAGGACTTACAGGGAACTTGACATGACCAAACCTCACCCTACATATGGCATAGCAGCAAAACTTTACATTAGGTGCTCCAGTAAACTGCAAACCTGGAAATCTGCTTTCATTGTGGCTTTGTGGCTTGCCAAAGAATACATTAGGTGAGCTTTTTGATGTTGCTGGTATTGACTACTGAAATAAGAAAACCTCTCCCACAAACCGTTCCCATTCTTATCCACAAACTGAAAGAGTAAGATATTATGTATACAGCTGAAATTAGGACCAGTCTGTTATTCATGCTGCCTATGGATGCTGACCAACCAAACCCAAATGAAGTATGAGCGACTACAGTTGACACCTTTCACTTCTCACTGTGTTTCATTTTTTGAACAACACGGATTGAAATCCTAACCACACCCTTTAAAATGGGGCAGCCAGATGAAAATCACAGGTTAATACAGCTGTCTGACAAAGCCATTGCCTTCTTTATTATTAAATGAAGTAATGTGCAGTAATGACACACAAGGAAAGTTCTGATTTGCAGATAAAGAAGTGATACGAACTCTTTGAAAAGACACTGTATCCTCCCCCCGCTTGCTTCATCAATACTCTGACTATGAATTTTCTGAAAATGTACCATATGCTAATTAATGTATGAGTTAAAGTTAATTAAAAACTGGGTCTTTTAGGAATTTTCTTCCATATAGTTAAAAATAACTGTAATGTGCAAAGGCTATATTGAAGAAAATAAGTTGTAAGTAAAGTTATTAGTGATTATTTTTTCTACTTGTCATGATATTTTAGGCTCCAGACAGGATCTGGTCAACAACCACTGTGACAGTATAGGTAACTGAACCAATCTCCACCCTTCCTCTATTGCTAATTTGCATGCAACAATTCTATTGATTATAATGCGTCAGTAGTATAAGAGACTGGATTTATGACTCAAGGATTCTCACTCGTCAATTACTTGGCCCAGTCATCACTGCTCTTTAAGGGTATATCTACACAGCAAAGAAAAACCCGTGGCTGGCTCTAGGACCCTGAGGGGTAGGAGAGTCCCAGAGCTCAAACTGCAGCCCGAGTCCAGAAGGGTACACAGCAGTGAAATAGCTCCACAGCCCGAGCCAGAGTCAGCTGGCACAGGCCAACCATGGGTTTTTCTTTGCTGTGTACACATACCCTAAGTGTTCCATGACTGCATGCTAGCTTGGACATCAGTGTTTGAAAGGTTCCTCGTGGCACTGTTGCCTTGGCTCCACTGTGTGCTGCCAACAACATTGCTGGGGAAACGGAGACAGAAGCACTGGGGAAAGACATTAGAACTGAGGGAACTGGCTCCCTCTGCCCTTCCTTCACATAGCACTGGTCTCACTCAGAAAGTCCTCTAAGCCAACAAGCCAATTGCAAGATTCATTAGTATCATTAGTATTAGTATTCATTAGTTCACTTTGGCTGCTTTGTGCTGCTCTGTTTTACAGGTGAAATTGCTCTTAAAAGTTAAAATTAATAAAGAATTTAAGGTTGGTATTACATATCTTCAAATCATTCAAAATGTCACATGATAGTATTCTTTTTCGGGTTGTTGTTTAGTGCTCATTTATGCAACTTTTAACAATTAATAAACACTCCCCCACGGTATCTAAAAGACGAAAACTATGTTAAAGTGGAGTTAAGGTTGAGAGCACATATCAAAAATGTAAAAGTAAAAAAAACACAGAGATGTAATAATAATCCCCAAACCCAGCATTATAATTCCAGGAAATTCAGAGTTAATTTAAGTTAAAATAAAGAAATCCAAACAGGTTAAGAAAAACACAATCAAACAACCTCAACTGTGCCCTAAAGTGATATCCAGAAGAGGAAAATATGAAAAAATGAATACAAATTTAAGAATTAGTTTAATCTATTCTGGGACCACAACCACTGAATGCCTTAATTATAATTATATGATAATTGCATGGCATCAGTAAAGAGAAGAGTTACATTTTTGGAAGTGTCTCTTTAGTGTTTGGATTTCTTTTAAGTATAACCTCAATTCTGAATTTCCTGGGTTTGTAATGCTTGATTTTGAGATAATTACACCATCTATTTAATGTTTTTAACCCTTACATGACTGATACATACACTTAACCTTAATGCCATTTTAAAGGTTTGTTTTTGGGTTTTGCTGCTGGGTGTGCGCCCAGGCGTGTGTCTTGGAATAGAAAAAAATAGAAGTCATAATAAAATATTTGTTAACATGATTTACCTGAAACAGTTTTTAAAAACTTTTTCATGAAACAACACGAACAGAGCACATACATAAATCTGTAAGTGAAAAAAAGCTCTACCCAGGCAGAGATGTTATACAATTATAGCACTTTATTGCATTCCCTTAATGTAAAAAGCAGTCATTACATTGACATATGTCCTTCATTGTTGCACTACAGGTTTGTTTAATTTATTCTAAAGAGGAGAAGGTTGCTAGAAGTTATGTACTGTGCTTGTGATGAACTCTTGAAATCCTGGTATACTATACTTATCTTTCATGACAACTTTTGATACGATTGCGCTAGTAAACTGCTAATTATATTATTCCTCTATATTAAACCCTTTTAAAAAAATCTAAATATATTCTTTAAAAAAAAACAACATTTAATACCTCCCCCCCTCCCACAACACACAACCTATTATGGGGCAGCTGCCTTTATGGGGAGCTAGGGATCAGTCTGCCATGTGAAGGCCTCATCTGGGGATAGCTAACTGCCACAGGTGGCTGATTAGCAAATGAGCCCCTGGAACTAATAAAGTTTACCCCAAGC